GGGGGGCAATCCACACGTTGGATTCCAAACTCCTAACCATGGAGAGTTGTGGTGACAGCAGTACTACTTACCATAGTGTGATTCTCTTTCATGGTCAAATTAGGATTAACTTGGGATGCAAGTAATTATGGGAAAATGAAACATAATATTGAAATTTTACTGATAGATAAAGTACTGGATGAATGAAATTGGGAGACTATGCTTATCGGTGCAAAAAAGAAAAAAGTCAGGAAGGATACAAATATAGAAAAAAATTACATGAATAGAATTTAAAATGAACAATATAAAGAGAATAAACATAAAACAATATAAATAAGTAATTAGAATATAAAATAGAATATAAAAGGAGTGTAAAGAATAAAAATGTAAATAATGTGACAGTAAATGAAGATGGATGAAAGTGCACTTCCATTTAGATTATTTCATATCATGTTCGTTCAAGGCTGCGTTACGTTTGTGCTTTTTGTAGGATCAGCTGAATAATGAACAACTACATTATCTCTGTGACATCAAATGTCGACGGTAGCAAAAGGGGTTAATAAGGTCATGAACATTCTGGGGGATTTCTAAACCAGCAATTTCCATGGTGAGGTTGCAGCTACTGAAAGCATCCATTATGCCCCTGGACTTGGCACAGGTGAACAAACTTCTTCAGCACCCTGTTCATTAGTAGTTGGTACATTCGTGCTACTTTTGAACTTTGCCCGTTAGGGCTTAGACTAAAGACTCTTAATCATATGTTTATGAGTTGTGGCCAGAGTAAAATAAATGAGTAAATAAATTCCTGTTAATTGTGTAAAGTTTCACTATTTATTCAATGTGTGTCACACAATATAAAGTTCCATAAAATCTACCTTCAGTCACTGAAATGCTGAAATTCAAGGGCTTAAATGTGTTGAAAATAACCAACTAAGTCACCTAGAAAATGATGCATCTTACAGATTATAATAATTCCTTCACATTATGTTCCACCCAGACCAGAATTTGTTCTAGTATAATGGAAAAACTTGCACTTAGTGATTGCTTTGGAAAAGAAGAGAAGTTTGCAGATACAGTATGTTACTTTTCTAAGAACTACCGAAAGTTAAGCAGGAACTTGCATTTTTTGTGCTGTGTCAGTTTCAATGCTGAAACGTGTGTAGTGAATGTTGTGAGGTCTTAAATACAGAAGCGCGTTCCATTTTTTCCCCACCACATATTTTCAGTTGGCATCCTACAGCTGTTGTTCAAATCCATCTGAGCTTGGGCGAATGGGACCTGAGCCACGCTAAGCATAATGACTAGCTGGGGTTTTACTTAACAGGGTGCTTTTGTTTAAGTCGAGGGGGCAGAACGACTTCCACGGAGACGCTCCGGGATAAAAGAGCCATGTGCTCGACGATAGAAATTTGCCTAAAGGAAAACCAAATAAACGCACACCACGTGTGACGATATGTTAGGATCCTGTTGAAAACAACCCCGCCTGTTCCTCTTTAACTTCCACAATTAAGACACTCATGTCTTAATAAAAAACATTGTATGCGATGAATGAAATCGTACTGCGTTTTATGAATAACTGAAGCGTATAAACACCAGGAAGTCTGGCTGGTGGCCTCATTCGGAGCGCCACATAAGCTCTTCACAGTCACCAGCAACGGCCTTAAATCCTTTTAGCACAGGCTACTAACAATGAAAGAAGGACTTTGATTTGATTGTCATGCTTTAGGGTCTTACTATTATTTTTTTAAAGCTTATCTGCAAACTGGTTAGAAGTAATTGGGAATGTATGCTTTTCCGAAAGCCATGTGAGCACTGAAGCAGTTTCAGAAGTAATTCTGGTGTGGTTTTCTGCTTTAAGCGTGTTTGTTATTTCTCTCTAAACCATGTATGCGTGCTGCACTTGTGGTAGGTATCTGTCTGTGTGGAGTCGGCTCTGCATGCTAGACCAAAGAGTAAAAACATCGACAAGAGTCATTTTCATACATTTTTTGAGTTTCAAAGACAACACATGGATGATTTCCATTGTAAGTTTTATTCTTCCAGGACAAAATGCGATGAGACTAGCTAGAAATATTAAATGCAGATTTAATTTTTAATATATATTTAATGTAACAAGTTGTCGTAACATCTGTGACTATCCATTAAAGATGCACTTATTTTGCATAATTCAGATAACTATGTTTTAGTAGTTTTAGGAATGATCTTACCCAAGTACTGTATATCATGAAGGTTCATTTCTGGACAGGCCTGTAAGGCAATAATTTGCACTACATTTTCTGTAGAGGGCAGTGTTGCCTTAAAACCTTATTTGTTCTATGCCCCAAAGGAGACATTAACCACAGCACTTACACACCAACGAAAAATCTCCAAGACAATGTTGCCAGACTGATATTTCCTCAGACATACCAATTTTTTTCTTGGATTCAACATCCAGAATGTATAAAGTACCTGTGTGTGTGTGTGAGTGTGTGTATACAAAATACACCAGTAGAAAACATAAATAAATATGAGTTATTCAATTTTAAATTCAGACTATTAGTAAGTAAAAAAATTACAAAATCAGATTTATTAGAAAATTGTGTAAACTAGTCATAGATTTTCACATTAATATGTCATTTTTCAGCTTGATCTGATTTGGAATTAGTTTAGCTAAGAAACAAACCTTCCACATTTCACCTGGATTACTGAAAGCACTCAATTTCTGATGATTATATTCTTAAACTGACATACAAAACTACAGTGAGTTGATTCTGAGTTGCTTCTGCATATAAATGAGAGTTAAAATATTTTCTTCGTGTTTGTTAGTAATAAATCTTTCAGATTACTGGTATATTATGATTTACAGATTTTCCCTGTATATCACTGAAGAATACTTATGAAAGAGTAACAATTATGAATATATTTAGAAACGGCTCATTTTTCAGATCAATTAATGTGCATGGGATTGTTTTCATTTCAATGCTTATTTTGATGGAGACTTACAGACAGCAAAAATCAAATGTGCTCCTTTCACCATGGTTACTGTTGCTATGGAAACAACCTTTGTATAAAAATGTCTTCACTTTAAAGTGTCATAAGAAATATGAGACATGCAGGTCTGTCTTGACACATAAGGTATATTTTGGTACAAAATATGAAGTTGTTACAGGTTTAGCTGGTACATCTGTCTTCTAAGAATCATTTAATATGTGTAAGGTACTGATCAAACCAGAGACACTGTATGGCCAAATGTATTGTAAACCAATTATTAATTGGAAGAATTAGCTAATCAGGCCATAGCCATTGCTGAGACAGGTGTACAGTTAAGCACACAGCCATGCATTATCTAGCAACAAATATTTGCATCAGATTTTCGAATTTGCACCATTACAGGATGACATCATCACTTTC